CTTTCAGTATATGCAGTTAATTTATGCTGTTCTACTCAATTAAAATCCTATTTGTAAATTAATTACTAAACGAATAAATTCAAGCAATACCTCATTTGGTGAAGAATTTCACGGGCTACAACACAGACGGTCTTAAAACTTTTAGAATTCATTTTTGACTGCTAATTTTCTTAACTTTGTCGAATTTTTGAGTCAGTGAGCGCCACGTTTTAAGAAATTTGCCAACTAAGTTGCCAGCTCGAGAGAAGAAAGCCGACAAAGTCGTAAGACTAAGAGCCAACAATCACTGCCAACTCCTATACCATGTATTACAAATCAGTCACTCGATAACTCTGGAAAATGACCAGCAAAGAGAATAAGACTAGAAAGAAGAAACAAGCGAAAGAGCAACAGGAAAAACGAAAAGAAGAATCTCTAACTTCATTGTCTGAATCTATTGCTGACATAGACGAATTAATTAAAAAGACTGACCAAGTTAGAACTTACATTGTGAAGACAGTGCCGTTTTCCAGAGCTCTTCCAGTGCTGACAAAAGAACAACAGAGTGCTGCTGAAGAATTCGCTGAACTGCAGACTTTTATTGGTGACCCAACGACAAAGAAAATTGATCGTAAAAAAGTAAAGAAGAAGATAATACCAATATAATAGTCCACCACAAGTAACAATAGTAATGAAATTCAACAACATACAAATCAACACCACTTACTGACAGACACAAGTGTTTCTAAATCAGCTGAGCAGTATGATAGAGCGTTTCGACGGTTTTTTTAAATCAACTTGAACGATTTCTTTGAGTGTCAAACGGTATTCTCCACTGAGTTGTTTAACTGTACATGATATATTTGTGGGATCATTTAACAGTGCTGCTGCTGCAATGCCACCTTTGCCAGTACCATAATGCTAACAAAGATCGACTAATGATTGACATAATAACTGAAAATCATCTCCTAAAGAGATAACCTTAAAAAAGATGTGGTATATGGAGTGCGACATTCATCGTCGTTTTTCATCTGGGGTAACTCTCAAATCTTTCTTCATATATTTATCAATAGAATTTGCTGCTGTTTTAACTGCTGTACTTTTTAAACAGTTCGCAACATGCACTAATAGTTGTGGCCCAATTTTAAGGTTTAAAGCTTAGCAATTGATTGCATATTGAACATTGAACCAATGGGCGAAATGCATCATTTGAATCTTTTATTCTTCCCAAAATAGCCGAAATTTGTCCTCAGCTCCCGACTTTGGTCCTGCTACTCTTGTATATCCCCCGCCTTTTAGCAGACGTAGCGTTTGACTGTTTTCCCTTTCATTTCTTTTTCCAATTGTGTCATATTTTACTGTTGTTAGTTCAATTTAAATTTAAATGAGAGAATATCAGTCAGAATTTTATTAAAGATATTTTAAACGACGGAAAAAAGGGAGAAAGAGAAAACAACAAGCACATCATCAGGTTTGTTTGCATATGGTCAGTTATCTGAACCAATAACATTACATTCTATCGCCCCCCTGAGTATTCCAGTCTGTCGCTCAGAATCGTTTTTTCGTTTAGGTTCAAAAACTAAGTTACCATAACCGTGACCGCTAACCTATGTAGGGCTCTGTTCCACAGTAGAAAAATTATTGGAGATAGATTCGACGATTGAACCTTTTCAGACACAGCGGTATTGGAAGGTCGGTAATGAATATTTTGATAAGAATATTCTTAAACACCCATTTGACTTTGATGTTTATGTTGAGTTTCACAATTTCAGATATTTCAACTTTTCTAAAACTTAGACATTTTACTTCACATAGAAAACTTTGTACGGATTCGGAGAAAGCATTTCCAAGTAGTTATGGTAGTTTATTCAAGCCAATGTTTCAGTTCAGACGGAACGAACTATAACCTGACGAGAATGTTAACAGCAGAGCAAAGAGCTATGTTTATCAATGTTTCGAAGACTAACACGAAGCTGTTCCATCTCATTTCAATTAACTCAGATATTATTAAAAAATTTATTCATTAACAGACTAACTCAATGATAGCAAGATAAGCAACGAAGATCAACAAAACTGAGCAGAACAGGTCATATGATAAATAGGCTGAACTAAACTTTATACAGTAAATCGCTGTGTAGTTAACTTTCTACGAACTTTCGGCCAGTCAAAACCTAGTTCATTTAAATAAAATAAAAATGTTTTGTACGTAAAAATCACATAAAAGATTATTCGCTCACATTAGATTGCTGTCGTTACTATCGTCTGTGGTTTGCTGATCTTGTTCATGTATCGCCTGTACCTTGCCATTGTCCTCCTCTTGCTGTTTTTTTGATCGAATTTTAAACATTTTCCGGCATTCACGTCGAAGTTGTACTAATGCTGTATGTATAAATTACCAATTTTGTTCTAATGTATCATCATTCCAAGCATAGGCGTTTTGTACAGCAGCTAAAATGAATCAAGACACAGAAAGAGAAACATCGATAGAAAGAATATGACAGCTATCACGCCTGTTTTAACATGGTTTTCTCAATTTAAATGGAGGAAAAAATAGAGTAACAACGGCATAAACTGAATTAATTCACTGACAGACTTTAGCAAGTAGTTTTTCACAAACAGAAGGAAAACATCTAAAACTTTGCAGGGCGGGTGAAAAAAACATAAATCCTTTAAAATGAATTTTTGAAAAACTGTTATGTTCCTGGCAGTAAAAGTTTTCAGACTAGACTTATTTTTGCATAGATTGTAGAGTAAACTGTTCTCAATAAACAGTCAATGACAGTTAAGCGCTGCATTCCTTATATTTTGTGTACTTTGGCAGATCACAAGCTATAAAGGAGATAGTTAACCAAAAATCAAACGTAAATTTATTCTTTTAACGATTCGAATTTCAGAAGAGAGATGTGGAAGTCAGTGACTTTCAATAAACCGAAATGTTCACGTCAAGTAAGCCTTTACTCCTGGCAAGTCAAGTTGTGAGTTATATTTTTTTGACGAAGTCGAGTAAAGTCAAATAATAACATCAAAACAGGCGCCTTATTTTTTAATATATTAATACGTGGATCATTTCCATAAACGTGTAACTGATCGAGTATTTCTTGTCTGTTAAACAAATCACATGCTATTTAAGTTAAAAAAGCGATGAGTCGAAGAATTTCTATTGAAAAAATCGAATGCGGCTAAATTATGATAGAATGTGGTTTAAAACGCACGAACACCGACAAAATATAATGATAAACGTCTCTTTTATTTCAACTTATCTGTGTAAAGATAAAATCAGGAAAAAAGAATGGCTCGTCTTGTTACTTCGAAGTATAAAAACAGTGTGTTTCTAAGCGAGGTAGCTGAGCATAGTTGGATCCATGAAAAGTATTTCTCGTAAACAAAACTAATCTTATACAAAATCAGAAGTTATCCCAAATTGTACAATACAAAGTACAAAATTAAAAGTCTTTAAAAAACCACAGACTGACATATCTTCATCTTCTCACGCTCACCTCGCTTAGTCCTTGTGAAATAGTCGATAGCCTACGAGCTCGTAGTCACTGTTTATTTCTGAGGTGGAAGAACATTTAGCTCGCGTTCCTATGGACCGATTTTTAATATTATTTTTAAATTACACAATTTCGACTCCCTAGTCCATCAGCTCACTGAGATATGGGGGTCTGACTTTGAGAAAATCGCTTTTTTTTAGCGAGACACCTGAGGAAAATCAACTTTTCTGGGGTAGAAAGAAAGAGGAAAAATGCGAATAAGCCATTTTGTAAACTACTAATTATTCTAATGAAATATGTATCTCCTGCTTCTACGTCTTTTTCCTTTTTGCACTCTTTGAATTACGAAACGCTCTGACAGACACCTTTGCATTTTGTTGTACGGCGACATCAAATAGCTTCTTCTGCTGACTAGGAGAGACCTGAAAGCAAACTAGCTATACAAAATGATAGAGCGCTTTCTGGATAATAAACTGACAGTAAAAAATGTAATCCTTGTAGATTTTGTTTTAGAGAAAAAGTGATAAAAGTTTTTACAGAACGGTGTTTCCACCCACTGTGTACATTAAGATTTTGAGAATTGGTTTCTCGACAACTTTTTGGCGACTCTTCTGGTTCGTTCCAACTTTCACAGTTCATAGAACTCGAAACGTTTTTTGAATAGAAAAAATGACCCGCTTTCTAGCTTGCTTCGTTTGTGAACAATTTACATTCTTTGGTAAAATGTACGCAACATATTTTTAGAAAAAATGTACCGCAGGAATTTTTCCTAGATATGTTCGTATACATCAGCCAAAAGTGCTGCTATAACATGTCGTCCGACTCCTCATGCAACAAAGAATAGATTTATGTGTATGCTGCAGCTACTCAGTTTAACGATAAACAAGGTCTTAGCTTCTAGTCCAAACTACTGTTAATATACCCATTTTTTATTTAAATCAGGTCTGTGTCGAATAAAATGTGGTCTATCATACAGCGTCCGATTCCAATCGTTGGACTGCATAAAATGGTAAATGAGACTTGGTATTCGGATGGACCTTGGTCTCGTTTTTCTAAAAGCAGCTTCAAAGTTTCAGTATGGTTTTTGGGCAAAGTCAGGGTTCTGAGCCAATATTGAATTAAACATAGGAAAAGTTTTACTTCGTAAACTAGAAACTGAGTATAACAAATTGTACCACTCAAATCTGTCTTACTTTTTTTACTTTAAATCTTTTTTAGCCAATTGCGCAAAAAAGTTGCACTTCCTTCATACACAGCACATTGATTAAGGAGTGAATTTTTAAAGCATGGGAATCTTTCAAGGCGAAACTTTTGGAAAAAAAACAAGGTATTCATTTCTTGCACAACAATAGTAAATAGTTTTGTATTTACCACTCAAAAATTCTTCACGTAATTGTTAATCATCATAAACTCTAACTTTTTTTCTTGGTACGGGATCATTGGCAGTGGTGGAGGAAGTAATAGGGGCAGAAGTAGAAGAAGTGATTGGTGTACTGGTAAAAATTGAAGAACGCTTTCTTGCATTCATCAGTGAGTGTTCTGTAATTTTTGTGAGTGTAGGCGTTGCTGTTGTTGTGACGAGAGGCTTGGTGGGGTCGTTGTTCCAATCGGAGTTAGATTTGGACTTAAAGTTAGTGATGATAATTGTTGCTGGCTACTTGAAATTGTTGTTGTGATTGTTGGCAACGGTGAAATAATACGAAGAGCACGTTGCTGTCGTTGAGTGAGAGCACGAGGAGGTGAAGTTGATGATAGACAGTCGTCGCCGTTGATGGTGATGGCAGTAGCAGCAGCAGCAGAAGGAAGATTTTCTTTCGGTGATATGATTACATTTTGTGTGGATGCACCTAGAAAGAAAATTAGAAAGAACAAAAAGTTAACTATGAATGCTTCAAGCTTGTCTCCTGCTAGTTTATTAATGCACTTCCGAAACGCAATTAAGGAGCGCCTTAGCATATGATATGCCTAGTTCATATTTGAAAAATATGGACCTTAGTTCGTTACAGGTCAACGAAAAATCCTTTAACATCGGTTATTACCGTAGCTAGTCTAGCCTATGTTACCCTTTAGATTTCGAGATTAATACTGGCTTATTCCCTTTTTGAATTTTTTCAAAATTTATTCACTTACCAAAAATGGCTTGAAGACCTGGACTTTGTTTTGAAGTTTTTTCACCAACATTAGTGGAATCTCCCTTTTTTGTTTTTCTTTGTTTTCGGACTAAAAAGGTTAGAAAGAAAGAAATGGTATAATAATATCGATAGGACTTGTACATCCTACATTACTTTTAATTTGTGGTTCTTGTGCTTGCTGTGATAATGGTGGTAAATTTTCTTCTGAACTTGTTGGATTGTCGAAGACATATCCACTGGTTACATTCAACATACTTTTAAGAGCTTTTTTACATTCATTTTTAAAGTCTAAACACATAAATACAAGAAATGTAGTGTGAAAAGACTGCTGTGCATTGAAAATTCTAATTTGTTTAACGCAATGGCTTCTGTTAGAAAATTTATTCAGCTAGGAGTCAATTTTAAAATAAGGAGCTATTGCTTACTTAGTTTATGCTCCTGAAAGCTGTGAGCAGGCAATGCTTGAAAATACTATAAAGAATTTAAATATCTTTTGACGTTTCCGACGAGGTCTGGTTAATTACCACTCATTAGTCTATCAGAGGACAGGAGGAAAAACCAGTTATATTTCATTTAAAAATGATTCTTGTGCTGCTAAAAAATGTTTTGCTGCAGCTATTTTTTGCTTTCAATTAAATGGCAGTGATTATGCCTGCTTAAAATCATTAAAGTGTTCAGGCACCGATTTTCGAACACAAAGACAAGATTTATTAACACAAACAATTAATCATTATCTCGATAGATATTATGAACTTATTGATCTGAATAGTTTTTCATATGATGTGATTGAAGTTGAGAAAATTATGAACAAATGTATATTAATTCCTTTCGAAGGAAAGCATCTTTTCACGGAAATTTTATGTACAGTAGAACACGATTAATATGATCACTGCTCCCGCCGTTATTTTTTCTAAGCGAGTATGTTAAAAATTATGTTAAAAACCATTTCTGCACAGCTACTTCTAGAAAATTCAGTGAGATTTGTAGTGTTTAGCCCGTGAAGTGAAAACTCCTATTTAGTCCTTTTTACAGAAGTCTGCTTCCTTTGACAGAAAACACCGTGGTGTTTTGGTTTGAGCAGCTTTTGCAGAAAAGTTATGACTCCTTCTTTGCTACCAGATCCTTGCTAATGAAGAAACTGCCGTGACTTAAAAAATAACCAATGCTAAATTTACTTATTTCAGATGTCAATTCCTACTTTTCTGGGATAGAAAGAAAGAGGAAAAATGCGAATAATAAGCCAATATTCAACACAGAATCCTTGGATGATGCGAAATGTTTCCCTTTGCCAGAATCATCATCATCTTCATTATCCAATATAAAACCTTTACATGATAAAAAATGTTGTTTTTGGTTAGAATCATCATTACTATTCAATACAGGATCCTTGAATGCTGTTAAATGTTTCTCTTTATCAGGATTATCGTTATCATTGTTACCTAATGTAAAATCTTTCACACGACGAAATATATTAGGACGTTTATTTTCACTATTATCATGAGTACTTGTAGCATTAGAATCTATGTTTCATTTATTAGTATTACTATTGCTACAATTCATGTTATTATTATTACTGTTATACTCAACGATATATGAATTATGAAATTCATCAATTTGTTCATCTTTTATCATTACATTTTGAAATGCAACTATTTGTGATCCAGCAGTAACATGAATATATTCTAATGAGGTTAATCTATATCTGATTTTCTGAATGTATAATTCAATGGTATATGATTATAAGTAGTATTTGCTCCACAATGTATTAATCAAACTTCACCGATATTACGTTTAGTTTTTAAACAATAACTAATAAAATCATCTGTATTACATCCTTGATGGAATAAATTTGTTCCAGCTTTAAATTTATGTTGTTTTATAACTATTTCATGAACTGATGGTGGATTATTATTAATATAACTCCATTGATCAGGATAATGATAATCATCTGTATCATGGTCAACGGGTATTGGTGCAACATAACAAGTTAAACATTGTAAATTTTGTTGTGTTTTATCTGTTTCAATAGGATCATTTGTTAATATAATCATAAAATCTCCTTTTAAAGCTTTAAAATAAATATATATACAATCATTACCATTTTTTTTTCTATTTATTTCTGATAAGTATTTTGAAATTGTTTCTGGAATTGTAACTTGTGTCTTAAATGATGTAGGTGGCATACTAATTGTAATAGAGTATAATGTTGATTATACACGAGCATCTGATAAACTAAACATACGACTTGTAATTCGATTAATAATTGTTCAATTATAAATGATTAATAATTTTTTCTTGAAGCATCTGGTAGCTGAATTGAACCTAAGCCGTGTGTTAATGATACTACATCTTCTGTAATAGTTAATGAATTTTTGAATAAATATTTAGTACTCTGTTGTACTTGTGATGATAATGTTTCAGATATATTCTTTGGCATATATATATGATCAATATAATTTAATAGAATTAATTGTGGTACATGTGCTTCAAATATATGATGTGAATCTATAGTAGTCCATCGTTTAATTATATCTTTCAATTCTACTTGTAATTTTTTCTTTTCTAATCCAGTAGCAGCCATTAATTCTAATGCAGCTGTATATTTATATTCTTCTGTTGAACAATGTAATTTAGCTGAATGAAATTGTTTCCATCTTTCTTTTTGTTTACCAGGATCTTGTACCCATGGCCGAAATTTATAAGTATTACCACTATTAATGTGATAATACTTGGACCAAGTACACTAAATACATGTTGATTTGTTCCAAGACCTTTATCGGGTTTATAACCAATTCCCAATGGATTTGTAAGTGATGCATGAGCCATTTCAGTTGTACGTGAACGAATTTTATCTATTTCTTTTGGTTTGAAGAAATAATTTATCGCTTGTTCTTTACTATTAAGTTCATTATCAATATCATTTATATCATCATCAATTTTTGAATTATTTCTAGTTAGTTGATAGATTTATCTTTTTTCTAATTAATATATTCTTTTGATATAATATCCAAAATATATTCTCTAATGATTTTTTGTTCATTTGGACTTCGATGAGCAGTAATTTTTCGAATATCATTATGTTGAGATAGCAGCATGTGCAGCAAACTTTGGATCTCGTAAACGATTCATATATGATCGACTCATAACATGTCCATGAACAATTATTGATTCAAATATTTCTTGTGTACAACGATGTATAGGTTGTAATGAACGAATCCAATTTAATATATCAGGTTTTATATCTATTTTTGTTTTATTAAAATAGCTTTTGATTCTATTTATTATCTCATTTTGATTAGAAGTAAAATTAATTTTTCTGTTAAGTGCAAAATATTGTGCAACTCCTAATGGATCTTCAAATGATCTATGTCTATATTTGATAGAATGATCTTTAATATTACGATCTTTACATTTATGTGTTGAATAATCACATAGTAAACGAATATCTCGTATATTAGGATGTGAAAAACTATTCAAATGATCTTCTTCTAACAATTTATTGCATTTATCTGAATCTGAACACATTATTCTTGAAATATGAATAGTATTTCTCATATGTTCATCCTTTGTTTCTGTACAATTTCTTGCCCATGAACAAACATGGGAATATTTTAAATAATGTCTTTTCAATTTTTCATGCATAATTTTTGCTGTTCCCTGATCAAGATTATTACGTTTATTATATTGTAAAAATTTTATATATTGTTTACATGAATATGGTGTAAATGGACATGGTTGATTAAATGGATGTTCATATTCTTTAAGATGATTTGTATCATGAAAATAAATACAAATACCACCATAATCACAAGCCATTTTACAATGTCTAAATAATTTACAATGCTGTTCAGAATTTTTCAAATTTTCATTACAATTAAGACCATTTTTACATATTGAAACATGACGATACTTTAATAAATGAGTGTGTTCTGTTGTAGTACAATATCCACCAGCTGAACAAAATTCAGGATGCTAATATTCATTTAAATGTTGTTGATCATTTTTATTAGCTAATTCACATTTACCACCATTTTTACATTCAGATCGATGAACAAAAAAATTGATATGTACATAATCTGATAAACTATTACCTTCAATATCATTTCTACTTTCCATTTATTCTTGATTATGATAATATGAAAGTCCATATGGACAAATTGACGGATGTGAGAATTCACTACAATGTTTATAATTCATTATATGTTCACATTTTGCAGCATATGAACATGGAAGAATATCACCTATTTTAAAATTTTTTATAGTTAATTTATTATCATTTATATTACTAATTTTATATGATCCAATCATCATTCTATTTTTCAATATTGATGGTGGTTTTATTATTTTACCATCTAAAATACGTTGAAATGGTACATAATTTCCTTCTGGATTCATTAATTTTTTTGTTTAATTAATTTTCTGACGTATATTCATATACTCATTATTCGAATATTCTTTATTCGTATATAAATGAAACATAGTTTGCTATAGTGAATAACAAATAATTTTTCGTTTCGTTCTTTTGAGGCTTACGTATTACAGCCCATCTCTAGATCTACAGAAGAATAAACCGTAGCAGAAAATTCCCCAAAACTGATGAAAAATGCCATTATAAGAGAAACACTCCCGTTCTTGTTGTCATTTTTTATCCTCGATACTTGATCGAAGAACATAGTTGCCCTAGAGGGCAATGCTTATATAGGATTCTGACAAGATCTTGTCAGATTCTTTCCAATTTCTTATCAAAGGCAGATAACATGCTTATCAGATTCTTACAAAAGTCTTATATAAAAAGGCACACGCAATGGCCAGTTTTTTCGTAAGACTCTGATAAGCATTGTATAAGCTTCAGATAAACAACTGATAAAAATCCGATAAGAAAGTGACAAGAAAGAAAATAAAACCGATCTGTGCAGGATTCGAACCTGCGTCCTACATTATCGCAAAATCGACTTTTTATACAGTGACTAGAATAGGGCCACATTTTTTTTCTGAATAGCTCATTGAATGAATGTACGGGCAACAATAAATCTCTTGATTCAAATCACTTTTCGGATTTTGGCTCGAATAGTAGCGCGTTTAAGACGGCGCTACTATCTGTGCCAAAATTCGAAAAGTGATTGGAATCAAGAGATATTTTGCTGCCCGCACATTCATTCAATGAGCTATTCAGAAAAAAAATGTGGCCCTATTCTGGTCACCGTATAAAACGTCGATTTTGCGATAATGGACTTTGCGACATCATAAGTCGCGTGCTCTAACCATTGAACCATATCAGCTCAGACTATGAATATTTGTTTCATGATTACAGTTACAAAACAACTATTTGAGAGGAATAGCGCTCTTTTGCAAAGTTGTTTTGAATGAATAAATGAATCCACATTATTATTTCTGTTTGATCTTTGAAGTAAACGATAAGTTTCGACCCATTTTTAATCACAGGAACATTTGCCAATAAGTCCTATTACTTTATCAACAATATTCTTTACCGCATCGTGTGCTTTTGAAAAATTTTGTTTTTCACGAGAATTTTTTCAAGAAACGACCACTTTTTCTTTTTTTGGACGAGACAGAGAATGGGAGAAAAAACTTTAGTTCTGCTCTGTCTGCCTGTATTATGTGTGTTCTCGCCAGAAAAAATGAAAACTACACTCCGTTTTGAAAATCCAAATAGTATGAGATGAATAAATGATTTTACGAGCAGCAGACATACAAATAAGCGGATACAGAGGATGAAAAAATCGGCTAGACACTTTAAAAATTACGTAAGATTTCTTATGAAGTTCTTCTTTGAAGCTTATCAGATGCTTATGAGAATCTGACGGAAAAAGTGGCCGTCACGTGTGCCTTTCTTATATAAGATTTTTGTAAGAATCTGATAAGAATCTTATAAGAAATTACAAAATTTTCTCGTCTAGGGTGGGAGTATAGATTATAGATATACACGAAGCATCCCAGAGCCGGTCGAAAAATGTCATCGACTGCAAAAACCTTTTTCGTTATATGCTCTGTTCAAAGGTACCCATTAATCTAAAGTTTGATTCCTGAACTAACAGAATGATTCAATTACAGAGTTTTTTTGCCCGAAACTATCGCCAGAAAGTTTGAAACCTGGTGCTAATTGTAATTAAATATCAAAATTGAAACAAGATGAAGATATGAACAACCACAGTAATGCTCAAAGATTAAATATACCACTAGAAGTACTCTGCAATCAACAGCCATTAATATCAGCATCGTTACAAGACACTAATACATGTTTACTTTCTGAGCACCGAGTGTCACGTCGACAAACATTTACCAAATTTGATTATCATCGAAGGATAGTCTACAAACGAAAAAACAAAAAACACTCAGTTCAAGTCTAAAAACCACACTTTCTTTAATCACACATCTTTTAACTCTGATTCTCTTCTCTATTTTCACAGGAAGGGAAAGGTGGTAAGAAACAAAATGAACAAAAATAGCTTAACCATCTTTCTCCAGTAACCTTGCAAACAGTTTAGCAGTGAAATGAATCTTGCTTGAAAATCAAATTGTGTTACGCTGAAGTAGTTTGTAATTTCGTCGGTTGTTGTAAAACAGAAACAGCCGATCGAATAA